GCAGCAGTAAAATGTCCATTTTGTTCAGCAGAGAGGTGATGGACGGATCATTCCCATAGTCGGAGGCAATCTAAGCAGAGACAATACGGTACACTGTGGTTATCAGCATATGGGCACAAGTTGGAACATAGGAAGTTCCGTTCCAACACACGGAAAAACTTCTTTACAGTTCGGGTGACAGAGCACTGGCACAGGCTGCCCAGGGAGGTTGTGGAGTCCCCTTCTCTGGAGATTTTCAAAACCCGCCTGGATACAGTCCTGAGTAATGTGCTCTAGGCAATCCTGCTTTAGCAGGGGAGTTGGACTAGATGATCTCTAGAGGTCCCTTCCAACTCCGAAAATTCTGCGATTCTGTGATATTTCTGTCCTGCATGCTTATGCTCTAACAGCTAGGTACAGAGACAAGTCTGGCTTTCGGGGCAGGCAAACAAAAAACATTAATCATCTGCTGGCCATAACTGTTCCTCGTTAGACATGGAGCTTGGAGAGAGCAATGGATGTATTTTACTGTCCCTGTCCCAGAGAATGGGCCAAGGCTGGCACTGAGACTGAGACTGATTAGCCAGGTTGGGAATACACAACTGTACTGCACTTCTCTGGTAGTTTGGGCATTTGCAGCAGAACTTAAATGCTCATTTATATAGAGCTGGAAGCTTTTGCCCTGTTGTGGAAGGTATCCAATGACACGGCGTTCCTCTGTGTCTGCAGACCAAAGCAGCAAACTAGTCTTCAAAAAGTCCCTGATTATTTGTATAACTATCAACCATGCAGTCCTCAACAATTTCACCCGAGCTACTACATTTTGTCTACCTAAACTTCTCCCAGCTGCTCTAACAATACACAGCATTTTTCAATTCTTTGTCTGGGCAACTGCTGTGTTCTCTCTGGAGTCGGCTGTGCTTTAAGAGGGGTAAAGGAGAGGTAGCAGAGCTGGCTAAACACATACAGGTGTGCTATACTTTTAAATAGTCAGAGGCATTTCCAAGATAAAAGAAAAATCCATCACTGCTGAAGTGACCTTTTTAGCCATCCATATTGCACTCGCTTGAGTAACCCACTCTCGGGAATGGATACCGGCATCCAACCAGATTGCAGGACGGTTGCTTCCGCCAGTGCTGAACTGTCAAACAAAACAGAAAGTTTTAAAACTCTCACTTATGCCTTTTAGTCAAAAACATCCTGTATAGACTGGGATGCTTTGGACTGAATTGTGCTGTATGTATAATACATATGTATATTAGTATATGTATACACATATGTATGCACACATTCTGTGATATATGTCGTACCTTCAGCACATACAAAGGCCGCTTTTCATAGGATTCCCCAATCTGGATCTTGCTGACAATGTTGCTGTACTCAGATGCGAGATGATCCAGTTCTCCATAAATCTGAAATGAAAAGACACGGTGACATTTACATTACATTTATATATAGCACTGCCCAGAGCAATTGTAGGACCTGATGAAATCTACTTTTCTCTCCTTTTACCTTCATTACTATGACCTCTCCAAAGCCCCATCTCACCTTACATCAATGTAGTCAGCGCTTTTCCTAACATCACAAAGTAGAAGGAAGCGCTGCTACATCATCAAGATCTACTTATTTCAGGAATAAGTTCAAAACCCTCTTTAAGAACTTCTGGTAGTAAAAATACCTTACCCTCTGCTCTGCTTGATGGCCACTCGCTTCCTGTATTTCCCTATTTTGAGATTAATTTCTTTCTCAATCTCTTCTGAGGGTCAGGTGCAAGGTCCTGCACATGGTTTGGGGTAATCTCATGCACAAATACAGGCTGGGCAGAGAATGGATGGAGAGCAGCCCTGAGGAGAAGGACTTGGGGTGTTGGTTGATGAGAAGCTCAACATGAGCGTATAGCAGCTTTCCAGTATCTGAAGGGGGCCTACAAGAAAGCTGGAGAGGAACTTTTTACAAGGGCGTGTAGCAACAGGACGAGGGGGAATGGCTTCAAACTGCAAAAAGATAGATTTAGATTAGGTGTTAGGAAGAAAATTTTCCCTTTGAGGGTGGTGAGCCCCTGGCGCAGGTTGCCCAGAGAAGCTGTGGCTGCCCCATCCCTGGAGGTGTTCAAGGCCAGGCTGGACGGGGCTCTGCGCAACCTGGGCTGGTGGGAGGTGTCCCTGCCCATTGCAGGGGGGTTGGAACTTGATGATCTTCAAGGTCCCTTCCAACCTAAACCATTCAATGATTCAGAAGGAAGGGTTTTGCCAGAACTCTGCAGAAGAGTTTATGAAGAAGTATGATCAACACTTGTCTGTTCCAAAACTCTGTCAGGGAAAGCGCTGGCTCGTGGTGCTGGCTACAAAATTAATCCATTAAAAACAAAACCACATGCCAAAGGAAGCTGGAAAGACATTTTAGATCCTAATATAGGATGTTTAATTGAAGACAGCATGAAAAAAGGCCAGAAAAAAAGAATCCTCTTCCCCTAAAGCTGAGGTACTCACAGAATCTAAAGAGTGGTACATTCCATAGTTGAAGGTGCTGCTGCTGCGCTCCCTTTGTTCACTGTAGGCCATATCTTCCTTTTCTTTATCCAGAACAACCTAAAAGATGCCATTCAAATGTTGAGGAAAAGCTGCTTAATTTGCAAACCTCTGACCAAATGTTTATCTCAATTAACAAAAGGGTGGCACTGCACACTGGCTCCAGCCCCAGCCCCAAGCTTCCCACAGCCATGGAGCAAATATGTTTCTGCTGAAGGTACCTGTAGCGAAGTGGGCAAGAACAGCAGTGTTTAAATGGTTAGCATTAAGTTTTAAACACTCGTTAAGATGAACAAGAATAGCATTGGAAAGCTTGGGACAAAAAAAAAAAAAAAAAAAAAAGGGCAGTGTTTCTGCTGAGTTAACACTATTTTAGGTGCCATTTTGGGACTACTGTTCATGAAGAAATGTCAGATTAGTGCCCAAGGGCGTGATTTTTCTCTCACAGGGCGGTGTAAGGTTCTTCGGACTATGATCCAGAGCTGCCCTTAACACAGTTTACTGATTTATGAGTAACTTTAGTGTTGTGATTCCCAAATGTCTGAGGCCAAAAGACCACATGAGATTCCTCAGGGGTTATAAGAAAAGTCCCGTGGAGCCTATGAGTTTATTGATGTCACTATTCAACATGGCTTCAGATAGCATCTGCAGAGTGATCGCAGCTTCCCAGGGCAGCAGCGATCCACAGATCATCTTTGAGAAATTAATCCACAGAATACAAAACTAAGGGGAAGACTACATGGAAAGCAGAGTATAGAATGAGTCCATGAAATAATGAATGAGGCCAGACTGTGAATCACTATTTGTTTCTACAGGATTTAAAAGCTAATCACGCGCTGATGGCATTGCCTACCTGCAGGTCTTCAATCAGGATGGAGTACTGAATCCCATTGGACTCCAGGAAGGCTTTGACTGCTTGGACATTGTTAGCAGGGATTCGCACATCCACAGGGAGGGCAGCAGAGGAGGGATTTATCCAGAAATCAAGCTGAAAAGAGAAAGGAAAATGGATTTGGTCTAGGGAAAGTGTCCTGCAAACAGCTCTTCTAAAGCTTTAAAAATGCTGGTATCTCCCAAACTGAATGATCTCTGCAGTATTATGGCCGTCATGATTACAGCACGCTCCATTCTTTATCTCAGCCTCACCACAACCTTGTATCAGTTAATGTGAAAAGCTCATTAAAAAAAAACAAACACAGGAGGCTGAAGTCAGCATTTTCACTGACTTCAGAGCTTCAGTCATATAAGCAAGATGAAATTTTAGTCTTCTAAGATGATTTTACTGTTTTCCCTTTAACCAGAAATAGTTTAAAAAAAATCTCTGTATCACAGTATTAGCTAATATGAAACCCATTGTTTTTCTTTCTCCTTTGGTAGGGCTTTTCTAAATTCTAGTTTCTATACTATTCAAATCAATGTTTTTAAAGAAAGTGATAATAAAAATTCTCACCAATGGCAATAAGAACAGTAATAACCTAGAATTTTATAGTGTGTTTTCCTGTTTCAATACAGTGTAGACTCAAACTAATAAATTCCTCCCACAACGCTGGGAGATAAGTACAAAAAAAAGTGGCATCTCCACTTTAAAGACTAGCTTTATGATACTAAGATTAAGAGCAGCTCAATTCAAATATGACTAAACCCAGTAGGAAGAAAATATGAATGCAGGCACTCCTGAATACCAAGCTGGTGCTAGAACTTGCAGATCAAACACCAAATATTGAGACACTATTGCAGCAGCTGCCACAGTATGGTAAGAACCTTCCAAACACGATGCAAAGTCCTGCCCTGATAAGTCCTACCCCAGTCTGAAACGTTAAAAAATGCCTCTGTGGTAATAACATACCTCAAGGTGTTCCAGCGATTCCAAAAGCTGTAACTGCTTAACCTCCTCCTCATTTCTTGTCTTGATTCGGAGAACCTGGTGCCTGCAATAAATCGGTAAGTCTTCAGAAACAGTCTCAAAAAAGAGATGGGTTGAACTAGCCTGTTATCAAGATAATTAATTTGGTGGGTAGTTATTTGCATGCTACCAGCCGACAGGAACTTCTTTAATGTAGCTGACTTAGTGTCACCCAAGAGGGTGCAAACCTGCAGGGCCAGCCTGCTACACCTATACTAGATTAGTAACTAGTTAAATGGCGATTTTTAAGATCTCATCATAAACAAGACATCAAGCGAATGAATTTTTAATTGCTTACAAGGATCAGTCTTGCATCTATCAGTAATTTTTTGTCAACAACTTGAAAAAAAAAATTCTGGTTGAGTTTGCAAATGATCAAATGTTTGGGGAGCACTATACAACAAAGCAAACCAAACGTTAAATACAGGATTCATTTCACCTTTCTTCAGTCTATTCAAAGACAGTTGACAAACCTCCCTGTGTTGTCAGGAGCTGATACCGTCAGAGGGTGGCCTGCACCATTCCAGGTGGAATGAATCACCTTCTGGCAGTACCTCACTCCACAGGTTATAGACGTAAACTTAGCGATTAACTTAGACTGCGTTGTACAACATACAGTGATCACAATGTGTAGTCTACGTGGTTTTTAGATCACTAAAAACATATACCCCATTCAAATACACAATGTTCTAGGCTGTTTGGTAAAATAGGTACAAGCAAACAGTACCACAGGGAGAGGCTGATGAACCCAGGCTTGTTCAGGCTGTTTCAACTGCAGCCTACAATTTCTTGAAGGGCAGTTAAAAAAAACCCAACAAACTCTTCTCAGTAGGGGTAGATGATGATAACAAGGGGAAGCAGCTCCATGTCCTGCTCTGAGCAGGAGGGTGGACTAAAGACTTCTGGAGGTCCCTTCCACCCACAATGCTTATCTGAAATGACAAAAGGATGTGCAAATAACAACTGTATGCAACAGCTGTGGGACAGAAGATCCTATTCTGGAGAATGAAGGGGGATTCTGAAGGAAAACTGGAAGCTATAATGAATTAACGACTAGAAGTATAGCCTGGCATCAATGCCGTAGCCAAAAGCACCGACGTGCTCCTTAGCTGTATAGCCTGGGGATTACTGCAAGTGAGCCAGGCGTTAATACTGTGTTTGCAAATGGCATTTGGTGGTTAAAGCACTTGGTGTGTTTGTTTTCATTCTCTTCCCTAGGCATCTGCCTTTGGCTACTGTTGGAGACAGAATAAAAGTCCACAGAGTTCCGTATCCTGACCTGGCCCAGCTGCTCTGCTGGCACCCAGTGCAAGCAGTCCTAAAAAATGGAGATGACTCAGAGCAAATCGGCATGAGTAACTGCAGAATTAGAAAACACATCTTAAGACAGGGTAAACAAGGGACTTGGCATATGAGCTCAGTTATGTGTGCGTTTATTTACCAGTGTGGACTTAGCTGTTGAGAAGAGACACTCATTAACACCAGGTCCCTCAGTCTGGCCAGTTGAGGTATAAGATTCTTTTGATAGATCAAGTGAAATCAACACTGAAGGCACTTTATCACATTAATAACTTAGTATTGGATTCTGCAGCACCATAAGCTTTATTTCTGGATTGGATTCTTCTGTGAAGAGATGAGGCTCATTAACCACAGCTACTGGATGTGACAGAGGAATGAATTCACGAGAATCTGGTCTACATCATGCCAGAGCCCAGATTAAATGATCAAAATAGCCTCTCCGGGCTTTACAAATCCTAGAGTTTTAGTAAATTAGATATATTATTTCTTATTCTTAATCCTTACATCCTTATATACATATTTATTCACTGGAATCTAGTGCTCACTTACTATACCTCAGGAAGTATCTATTAGGTTCTTTATCCTCTTCTTACACAGTCAGTAAGACTATGAGGAAATACACCAGAAGGAGATTATTTTGCAATGCAACATACAGATCGTGGTTAGAAACAGGGATTCAAATTGCTTAGAAATGCTCTGAAGAGGATTAAACATTTAAAGAGAAATAAGAAACTTCAAAAACAAAGGGAAACTAGTGACCTTTCCGATCTGAAGCCAGGTTCTGGTCTTTCAGCTCTGCTTTGTGCCAGACCAGATCTGTCAAGCTGAACATCTGAACTTTGCAGTGAGGTTCAGCTGCAGATCAAGGCTCAAGACTGCTCCCTAGGTACAGTCAAAGCCTTGGGTGAACATAAATTTCGGAACCCAACTCTGCAGCTAGACCCTTCTCCTTGGAAAACTCAAATGAACTTAAAGAGAAGGGTTCCTTCAAATACTAGAACCAAAGCACAAGACAAGTCAGTCATAAAAAGCAAAGAATGTGCCCCAAGCAGATTTTGTAAAGTTAAGATCATGAAAAACAACAACTGGAAAATACGGCCTTAAATGAAAGGTCTTCCACAAAAGCATAACTCACCCGACAAAAGTTTCCACGCACAAGGAAGCCCCGAAGAGGGCACTGAAGATCAAAATCAGCTTCATGTTTGATGCGAAGTTCAAACTCAGCCTAGCAAAGGTGAATTTATACAGGACTTGTTAAGAAACCCTTTTTCAGATAATACATATCTGTATTCCATGTGAGTAAGTTCTCACATTTATCAGAGCTTTCAAGGCAACCAACAGATAGGAGGCTGACTTCAACTCAAAAAAAATATTTTCCACTGACACATTCAAACCTGTGAGGGAGGAGTTGTTTTCCAAGCTTTGCCCACAGAGCTCCTTGGTGTCCTTTTACACATTTTTCTAGGTAGAGGAAAATAATGTCAAACTGAATGTCATTCCAGGTCTCACTGGGGGCAAGGAGCTCTACCAGTCGGTTCTTGGTCATGGGTTTTCCTCTGATAGACTTCTAGTAGCCCACTCTTTGTTACAAAGAGGCAGTCAGCAGAAAGATCTCACTCCAACAGAAATGCTCAATTTGAGTCATTACTTTGAAGAAATAATCACTCTGGTGAAATAACTGGGTGAAATAATCACTCTGGTGGTAGCATGCAAGCTCTGGATCCTGCCTGCAACAAGTTCTCTAGACTAGGCCAAGGCCATGCTATAAATCCTCCCTTATATACAAGTTACACACTTCTAGATATAAGCCAGATAGTTTAAATATATTCTTTTATTGAAATTACTAGCATCCCCCCTAGTCTTCCGTTGGGATGGTTTCACACAGATCTAGCCAGCCAGTGCTTCAAGCAAAGTAAGGTTCCAGCAAGATCCACATGAGATCAAGTTGTATAGCAGGGGCAGAAAAAAGCCTTGGGTGAACAGGAACTTAAGACCTCAGTTGTGGAGCTGGACCCTTCTCCTTGGACAGGCTTGCTAGAAATCTCTGCTAACAAAGTATCCCTCTCAGGAAGAGGTGACACCGGTTTGAAGAAGTGCTGGAACAGCCACTGCCGGGTCTTCCCAGCTTCCCAATCCCCATAGGGCTGTTCCCTGATCCAGTAGCTCTGTGGGTCCCTTTGCTCTTGTGCTGGACTCTGTCTACATCTCACTTCACTGGGAATAGGCTCCATCTTGTTCACCTTCCATAAAGGTGCCCAGACATTTGAGTTATCATTATCTATGTTAAAGGAGTAATGGCGACCAGTGCTCTCCTGGCTGAGCTTTGGGAATGATCTCACTTGCCTTCGGTCGTGGGAACACCCAGCTGCAGTTGTCCCAGAATGACAGGTAGAGCTGAAGGGCTGTTGGACACACTTTTTGTTTGTCTCATTAAAAATGTTACAGAGGAAGAGCCAGGTGCTGGCCCTGCTGTAATACCTGCAGATGGGGTTCCTGGGAACTAACATGGGGACAGAAGGGAGATGGTTCAGCTGCTCTGCAATCAATCTCAGGACACCGAGGAAAGGAAGCCTCTGACCATCCCCACAGGATCTCACCTGTAACGCTTTCAACATTTGTCAGCACCTCCCTGAGGAGACTTCCCCAAGTCTCCACTCCCACCTGCACAGCTGGGACAGTGGCTTCTTGTCATGGGTTCACAGCAGACTCCAAGCAAGTCTTTTGTAAGGCCAGGCCTCATGTTTTGGGGAACAAAGGCAGCCTCAGGCAGGAATTCTGCCTGTTTTGACATAGAGGAATTAGTCATCCTGCAACTGTTGTAACTTGGGGGCATACTGTGGAGAACATACACTCTGCAAGGAGATAAGGTTTGTTCCTGCGAGTCCCCAGGTCTTTGACGTTTAACCTAACGCAGTCCTTGGGAAACAAGCAGATCTCCACTCCCCTCAATGTAAATCAGATAACACAAGTTTATCCTAAGAGACAGGAACCATCACGAGAACTTCCTGCTTCTAGCACTACAGTAATTTTGCCGGAAGTCAAATCCCACATGTAGCTTATGGCCTTCGACATTTCATAAAGAACCGAAAAACCGTCCACACCACCTCCTGTGGATACACTCTTCGAAAACAGGAAGGAGGGACTTAATAAAAGCAAGCTCTAATTTTGCCCTAAATTACTCATGCTACATCCTGCATGGATTTAAAGGCTGCCAAGAGATCCGCCAAACATGATGTCAGGGTCTAAAGTACACCAACAAGCTCCGAGTGCCCTGACCAGCCTCATCTGAAGCCTCCACCCATTGCATTTAAGGAGTTGCATTTAAGCCCCAAACCTTTGTACCCACTCCTAATCCCCACTAAAGGGGCTACAGAAGCCTGCAGCACTGTGACCTCCCGCTGCAGCCATAAGGTCTCGCAGGGTTTAGAGATCAGCCTTGAACCACAGGGTAACCTATGGGTGAAGTCCTGCACAGGCTGAAAATCAGCCTCTGTAGTGCTCAGAGCCCAAAACACCTGAGCAAATTAGGGAGTTGCAAGGGCAGGGGTGCACCGCCCAGCAAGCCAGAAGCCAAAGGTGACAGCAAGGCAGGTGGGGGTAGAGAGCTCACCACAAGCAGCACAGCCCCATGGGACCCAAACGAGAGGGGCAGAGCAGGTCTGGCGGCACTGACCAGGGACAGCCACAGTCCAGATCCTCAGGTAAGTCCGCAGTCACGCAGCAGATCCACAGCCAGGATGTCAAGAAGTACAAGCCCAAGTCCACCGTGCACCCACTGCAGCTCAAACAAGGACCAAAAAAAAAATGGCCTCAGCTTAAATGCAGCTCCCACGCCAAGGGGCGGAGGGTGTGTGGGTGAGAGCCCCGCACGAGCCCGCTCAGGAATTAGCACTCTCAGGGCCCAGGCAGACTAATGTGGGCAGGGTGGGACAAACCCTCTGCACAGTCCAAAGAGGATGTGGGATCATGCAGTGAATCACAAACACCCTGGTGACACGTTAAGAAGTGAAAGGTTAAATGAATCTCATCTAACCAAACTTTGTTTCATTGCTTAAAATTGCCTTAACAATATATGGATGGTTTGCCTCTGCTGCTGTTGACAGAGGGACAGACCTGCCCACTCCTGCCAACTAGAAAGGCCTCAAAAGTAATCAAATTTAGGTGGAGTCATGACTTTTCTGAAAATGGACCTTCTGTTGTTGCCCCCTATCTAAAAAAGGTTCTTGCAACCAAGACACAGCGTAGTAGTCTCTCCTATCACATGGGAAGGGTGAGAGAACCCATGGCTTGAGGTGCCCCTCGTCTCCCATCCTCACAAAATAAGTGTTCAGCAATTCGGACAGGTGAGGAGAGGGGAGGTGACCTATGCCGAAATGAGCTTTCCTTGTGCTCCTGGTGCCTCACTTGTCCCCTCTGCCCTTTCCGCATCCATTCTGCATCACGTCTTGCTCTCTCACAGGGTCCAAGGGATTTTCTAAACTGCTTTTTTTTTAATTCTATGCATAACTTACAAAACTCATATTTACCTTTTGAATTGCTCTCCCTTTCACCAGAAAATAATCTTTTCTCTTGGGCTTTCTGGAGGATCTGTTTCAGGGAAATAACATCATACACATGATGTTACTTAGAACAACGTATAATCATTAATTCCTTATATAATGCTAATTCTCACAGCGTGTGTGAGCTTGTGAGAGAGGCTTTGAGACACGAGGCTGACTGGCATTCACACAGCTACAGCACAGGGAGCAGTGCCAGCCCCTGCCCCAGGGAAACACGGGAGCCCTCACGCCTTCAGCATTTCTGCCGAGACTCTCAACAAGCCCATATTCCTCAGAAATCCCATACACGTTTCACCTTAGGATAGAAATGTGTCTTTTCTCACCTTCTCAAGATAGACCGGTAACACCGACGTGGCGAAGGGCTCCGTCTCCTGGATGATCAAAGTTAATTGGCTGTAACGCAATTCATTTTGGATTACTGGTGAGAGAACTATTATTTCTGTAAGTAATGGATTATTTCCACATCCTTCATCTGCCAGACACCTTGGGAATGCCCTGGATATAGAATGAGTAGGGATTTCAGTATGTGGCTCACCATTTGTAGACATGACTGACATCATTTTTGGAGTAGAAGCTTCATTTTGATCTCTCTGGAAAATCTGCAGCTATATGCCAGTGTCATAACAGAGGAGCTACTTATTTCCAACTCAAATCTCCTTAAATTAGGAAATCAAGACCTTCAAGTTTCCAGGGCTGTACCTAGATTTCAGGTGTCTGAGTCACACAGCAGTTTATACTGTACCACACATTCCATCGGATCATGCTGTAGCTTTGCATTTTAGGACAGCAAGCTCACGGATGAATTGCAACTGGTAATAACAAGAAGGGGATGGGAAGGTTATTGGCAGAGATACAATCAGTTGCCTATACCTGGAGATTAAAGACTGGTTCTAACAGTGACATCACCCCATGATGTGATTATAAATAATAACTTCCGAGGTTGTGAAAGCCTTTTAGGCAGGAAAGTTTTGTGTAAGGCCCACAATAACCTTCTGCTAAGGGCCAGCAGGTGTCAGCATAAAACACAGAATTAAATATTATGTTGAGCACAGCAGACAAGACAGATAATCAAAATGCCAGCGCAGGAGCAGGGCAGGATTTTCCCTTTGATCCCCTCAAAGCCTTCCTCATCATATTCCCTCTCATCTGGTTTCTGACTAGCGCCAGGGAGCAAAGGGTCGTTCTGCCAGTAATACCACTAAAGCGAGGAAAAAGGGTAACTCATGGGGCCTCAGTGCTGGATGTGGGGTGAGAATTACCACATTAGGAGTGGCCTCTTGGCAGCACATTGTCCAGCCAACCATCTCAGGAAGCCCAGAGACATCAGACATCAGCACCCAAGGAGCCACGGGGACGACAGCATCACAAAACGGCCCCTTTTCTAGTTGTTAAAGTGCTTCAGCTGCGATTTGGGGAAGGCTGGAGTGCCCTCAAGTCCTGTTGGTCCGTAACGTTTGGGGGATGTTGGGTGGGATTTCATCTCTCACTCGAGCTGTGTCAAAGCTGGAAATCGCACCAAAATGACTCTTCTTCCTCTGCACCTGAGGATGGGTGATTCACCCCATCCTCAAACAGCTGTTTGAGACTGGAAGGCCAAATTAGGCTTTTAACAGTCCTTCAATATTATCTCAATTTCATGCT